AAACACACACACACACACACACACACACACACACACACACACACACAAACAAACAAGTTAAGAAAATCCCTAACACTTTAGAAATTCACAGAGAGAGGTGAGAGAATGAGAATGAAAGAATGAATTGGTTTCCTAGTTGGAAACTGGGAAACTAATCTGGACGCAGGTCAGTCAGGACGGATCCAACTGCCAGCTCTCCATGGGTGCAGAAAAACAAACTAAACAACGCAATACACACTTTTGTGATTCTCTCTGCTATATATATACACACAGCACTATTTAAAGGTACAGAGGCAATCAAATCCATCCTGTCAGAAGCCATTAATGCAGAAAACTGTACTGTACTGAACAAGACAAGCCACATGCAGACACAGAGAGAGAACACTGACTGATATAATAACTTGTATCAATTGCTCTAATCTAAAATCTAGTGAGCAGCCTACGCAGACAGGATTTTAAGGTATCAGAGATGTGCTCTTGACGCGTCGACTATTTAAAAAGGTAGGCAGCATGATTATGCTGCCTTTAAGAAAACCTTTGGCCAAATTCTAAGGCAGCACTGCATGTAAACTTTGTGGAGAATGCAGTCCCATAATGCCCAGCAACAACTTGTGAAAACAATGCTATGTACAAACAAGCAAAATATGACTGACTCTAGCACACACAAGTACCATCGCGCAGTGTGTATGGAACCAAACTAAACCACTGGCTGTTAATGACATATGTAAGTGCGCATCAGAGATGTGTCTCTCTTCTGTATGCACGGTGCAAGAAATCACAGGGAACAAGGTATGTCTTGACTCATTCGTGTTGACTCAAACAACAACCCCAAAGAAGTATACTTAATAAGCATCAATTATAATAGTTGGACATGGCAACACTTCAAGAGTATGCTTTGACTTTAAATATGAAATGTATTTGTGCATTTTTATTAAATTACTTAGTACGAAGTATTAAATTATAAGTACTTTTTAAAATGCTTACAAAGTACAAATTAATAATAAATCAAAACAACTGTATGTTAAGAACTAACAGTGTCAAAACATACATGCAATAATAAAGGAATAAAGGGGCAGTGAGGGATTTTTCTCATCAGAATTTTCAGGGGTTTCAGTTTTTTTTTCCAAATATGTGCGATGGCAGTCAAATTTTGTTTGTGTGTTTATAGAATCGCTGAAGAGATAATCATAATCGGAAAATCCATTTTTTTCCCCCACCCCTAACTGAAATAAATAGTGAAGAGCACTATGACACAAAAAGTTGCTGCATAATGCGTATGTTTATACATTTGCAAAATCATCAGTGTTAGATTTAAACAGAGCGAGTGACTGAAGAGGTAGAAATGTGTGTAGGATAATCTGCCAGGTCGCCACTTGAGCTGCATATGATATAAATGGGAAAAGATGTGTTCGACTTCATGCAGTGCTGCGCAGACCGATCAACGGCTGACTTGAAGAGGTGCATGTCGGTTAGAAATTTTGTCCGACTTGAGACAGCGCTGACGCCACGTCACTGTGTTGATCATATTTACCAAGGGTGCCAATAATTCTGACCATGACTGTAGCATCAAAGTACCACGAGAGCATTTCGAGAACAGTCGGCTGACTCAGCCGGCGCAGCTTCTCCAGAGCGACTGCAGGAGAGCTGATGACGACACAGCTGTTTCTTGATTGGCCGAACTCACAACATGACAACGATGACGTGTGTTTCGGGTTTATTCTGACACCTTCCGTTCCACTAATGCTCACAAATCTGTTTTTATAACAGTGTATGTTGAACTTTATTCTTGAACAGATGTTGTTGTATTAAGCAGTATATGAAAAGTGTTTCTGTTGTTTCATGAAAAAGTTTCTAAGAAAAGATGGTATGGATTGTACCTTACCAATTCGAGCCGCGGTCTGATGATGAAACGGTTGAAGTGGCTGATCGACAAGAGACTGATTCGCAAGCACGACTGGAGCAGGACGTTTCTCAGTGGTAACTGGTAACTGGTAAATGTCAAGTGTTAACACGTTTGTGGTAATTATAAGATGTGATAAAACAAATTTACTCTCACAGCGTAGGATACAGCGTCATAATGTTAACCACACGGAAATTTTACTGTTTGTGGGCGGGCAAGTTGGCGACGTAGAACGTGATGCAGACATTATGCAAATGTATTACTTTGTGACGTAGAGCCGTAACAGAATAAGATCCGAATTCCTGACGACTCGTTTAGGCGATTGCGAGCCGACTCTTTTTTTTTGATAGACGATAACTTTATTTATCGTACACTGTCGGCTTCACAACTTTACAGATAGTTTATGTTCACATACAGCTACATGACACACTGCATGAAAGGTAATATTCTAAAAGGCGTAATAGGGGCACTTTAATACTAACAGCAGTTTTGCATGTCAAACTCAAATAAAGTGACTCCTTTACAGAGGTATAACTACATTAGAATGCCAACAGCACAACACAAACATACTCCATTCACAAAGGGCCTGACAAAAACACAGAGGGAGTCGCATCTTAAAGCCAGATTTTCTCTCCACCAAGATGTTGTAGGAGAAACACAGACACTGAGGGAGAACAATGAAATATTCATGATGCATTATTATAATGAGATCAAATCTGCTGACTCTGACTTTGTCTGGCACCAGTTTAAAGTACAAAAGCAGTTGTGGATGTAAAAGTAAGAGTAAATGGATGGAATTTATGCGATGAATATGAAAGAAAGTGAGGTTATGACTGTGAGTTTTGGTGCAGACCCATAGGAATTATTTAAACAGTACAATGAGCATCTGCACTGAAGACAATAAGAAATAAAGGAATTATAGTTCAGTTTTGTGAATGAGTACTTCAGAGTAGGGCTGGACAATAATTCAATATCAATGTGTATCGCAATATAATTTTTTTCAATAACGGTGAAATTATTTTTAAACACATTTCCGATATTTTGATATACATTACCAGTGTTTCCCATACATTGATTTATTTGTGGCGTTTGACTTGAATAAACATGATCACTCCTGGCAGAGAATCAGTTTGCATTTTCAATAATAAGCCCGTCTCCAGAAACGTTTTTGTTGTTGCTTAATTTTTTTTTTTCGGTGAGCAGAAGAGAATTCTTTAAAAAAAACTTTTGTCTGGTAGTGTATGTCAGCCTGTAGTTAAATAAAAGGTGAACATTAATTTATTTGTGCTGTTTTTTTTTTCTCAAAAAAATTAAATAGTTTTATAGGAATAGGTTTCATAGACTTGGCAAATAAATTTTTCATAAGTTTGTAGGTACAGACATCTGTTGTGGGTGTTCTTGGCAGTTTTTATGAGGCTTTTTTAAATAGTGTTCATATCGATATCGGAATTATATCGTACCGACCGAAATTAAGAAATATATCGTGATATAAATTTTGGCCATATCATCCAGCCCTACTTCAGAGTAATATCAGCTTTAAGAAATCACCTTCTAAAGATAAAATATTGATTATAGCACTAGGGTGAATCTCACAAAACCTGTCAAGAACATGCCAGGTTATGTTTCAGCCCAAAATCCCAAAGCCCAAAAAAGATGTTTTTTTGCATTGTGACATTTTCATAACTAATGTTTCCTACTTCAAAATGTATTTCAAAACTAATTATTCGTAATAAGGCATAATTTCCACATAATTTTCATTACCATAATGCAAGAAAAAATAACATTTTAATTAGTAGAATGTAAAGAAAGAATAGATTCAAATAGTACAGTGTTTATTCATCATGGCAATATATGCTGTTCTTTAATTTATGCCGATTTAAATACAAAATTCATTGTTATTACAGTAAAGGGAATCTAATGAGAGTCACAAATGAGAGTAATGAGAAATACAAAAAAAAAAACTAATTACGATAATAAGGATTTGGGGGGGATGTGCTAAATTGCACACTATAAATAATGTAAAAATGCAAGAAATCTTTAGGACCCTTAAAAGGCTTTATGTTATTAATATAAAATACAGTTTTTTTTATTTCAAGGTGGAATGTGACCTTGTTTTCATGTCATGGCAAAATATTAGTAAATGCATTAGGGCATTATGGCTTCAAATTCAAAACAATCACAAAATGCAAAAACTGACACTACAGGATCAAACGAGAACAAGGAAATAGTGAAAATAGTGATGTTTATCAGTATTAAGACAACATGTAATATAGGGCATCCTGACAGAAAGAGAGAAAGAGAATGCTGCAGATGTCATGATCGATAGAGTGGTCAGGTCTTTCCCAGTCCTTCAGCATAAATCATCAGCCATTATGATCATGCAGTCCATCAGCAGCAACATAAAACCCTTTGCAAATAGATCTGATGGGCATTAGTCATACCTCACACACTTCAGAAACACACACACACTGCATTTTTCCAGTGCTTTTCCGAGCTCAAAGAGTTACATGACATCCTGGAAGCAGATACTCACTGGTTCAGTTCCAGGTCTAAAATGAAGGTCTGTCCAAAGGCCTGCACCTGGAAGCTAGCCTGAGCCATGTGGTTCTGTAAGAGACAAAACGATACCTGGTCATTCTCATCTCTTATGATGCCACACATGAGTTGAGACAATAAAAACGGTAAAATTAGATCATATTTGGTGTTTTGGAAAAGAGAAATAAAATTAGATATTGTTTTTTTTATTCATGCATAACTCCAGTCCTCAGTAGCAGGGCTCCAGACAAAAAAATTGAGTAAGAAAAAACTTAGGTGCCAAATTATTTTTTTAGGTGCCACAGAATAAACATGTTTTATTTATTTTATTATTATTTTATTTTTATTTTTTTACATTTTAACATTTCAATCATACTGTCATGTGTTTATGTCCGATCTTTTCTTGCCTTGAACCTTTACGTTTCACAAAAGGTTCTTTGTGGCGAAAGAAGGTTCTTCAGATTAAAAAAAGTTGAGAAAGAGATGGTTCTTTAAAGAACATTTGACTGAATGGTTCTTTGTGGAACCAAAAATGGTTCTGTGAAGAACCCTTTAAGCACCTTTATTTTTAAGAGTGTATGTCTTTCACACTTTTTTTGTGTTAAAAAATTATAGAATTGTGCTATAATAATCTTTAAAAATACAACTAAATATATAGACTATAAACACTTCAAAAGAAGTGTGAAAGATGTTTTCTGTTTTGGAGGGATGATCATTTTAAAATCATTTTTTGATTTATTGCATCAATTTTTATTTATTGCATCAAAATTTGTTAAAACTTTACTAGTTAGGGCTGGATAATTGTATCAGCTGTTTATTATTCATGCAACAATACATATTACTGTTACCATTTTTATTAATAACCATTGCTATATAGAGGATACGTTTGTCTAGTGCTCTTATGAATGTTTTTAGCATGACTTGTGAAAATTTAACTAGCCTACTGAATTTAACTAATTTATTTTAATTTAATATCTCATTTTAGCATCTAATTTAAATTAATTTAACTACTGAATGACATAGCATAGACTTATAGTGTTTGCGTATTTCATTTCATTCTGGAACCTATTGTTCTACAGATCTGTGTACTAGTGTTACAGGGTTCCCACTCTTTCATGAACACCAGATTCAAGGACTTTTTAAAGCACCATTTATTTTATATCAATCACCTATCAAATTCACACCCCAGAATATGTAGTGTCATGAAAGACCTTACAGTATTTAACATTTCACTTACACTTAACATTTACATTAAAAATGTCAGAGTAATAATGTTTCAGTCTGAGTTAAATCTCTTTTTTGGCTCAAATCATCCGTAAAAGAAAACCTGCCTAATAATTCTGCACACCTTAATAAGGAGTTTTTTATTTCCAGCCTTCATGTACAATTATTTATCACTTCTAAATAATTAAATACAACAATAATAGTAGTGATTAAGATTGATGTGGTTTGGAATTGGTAAAATGTGCTTGGAAAAAAATATGATCAGAATATCAACGTGCCTAATAATTATGCACGCGGTGTCCCTTTACACAATGTGTCCCTTTACACAGAGTGCGCATGATTGCGAAATCGAAAGTGAAAGTGAACACCAATTGACGGAAATCCGTCGTAGCGACGGAAAACTTTAATCCCTCTAATATACAATATTAGAATATTTGCGGGAGCGGGACACACACGTTGCGGGAGTGGGCGGTAATGGTCAGAAATTCAGCGGGAGCGGGCTTAAGAAAATTGTCCCTAAGGCTCTAGGCTGCGTATCAACACACACGCTAAGTTTTTTTCGTGCTACTCCATCTCCACCCCTAATCATTAGTGCCGTTTCGTTCTGTCTTTGACAGAATAGGACAATTTTTGAAATAGCGCCATAAAAAGGGGTTAAAGCAAAAAAAAAAAAATCTTTTGACTGAAATTTTTCCCTCCGCCAAACCCCATTCCACAGCCATACCGTATTTTCTTTTTACCTTTGTAATGGCATCTTTTTCATCTATGTCAAATTCAAAAATTTATCTTTGTAAGCTTTTTAAAATTTCTAATAAATTAAATTTAAACAATATAATAAGTAGTAGAATACGACAAATAGGTTACCAATCATATGAAATTAGTATTAATAAAAAATTAATTTGTAGCACAGAAGAACACAAAAGTGGCTTGTAGGTACATTTTCAGATGTTTAATGAGGCTCAGAGGTGGCATGAGTGCAATTAATTTCATGCATTTATGTGGAGATTAATGTTTTAAAAATAAAATTTTGAATACAGAAATATTAAATGATTTAAATAACTGAAATTATACGCTAAAAATGAAACTAAATCCACCAGCAGGTGGCGACAAGTCACTGATTTTATCACTGAATCATTCATTCAATTGTTTCGTTCGAACAGCTGATTCATTCAGGAATGAAGCAAGTGACTGTCTTTATGAATGGGTAATCATGAATCACTGACTCACTATATTCGTTCAAAAACGCACTTTCCAACTTTCAAACACCGCTGTGTTTGCTTTTAGAGATGCGAAGTGGCTGAGCTGTTACTATATTTGGAACTATTTTCGTTAAAGAAATAGAGCAAAATCAGGCAGTACTTGTTTACTGAACTGTTGTATTGAATCAATATCACATTGGCAAACTCCCTTAACAATTATTAAAAGCTGTCACTCTCCTTATCGCGATCAATGGGCGCACAGAAAATGAGAGTTCTCAAGACTCAAAAGCATGTGCAAATGATAAGTTCCGTCATCTGTCATCGCGTTAGAAGCGTGGAACCTGCGGGAATGAGTACAATTGTTATTAATAGCCACAATCCTGCTCCGAAAATCAAGTCCTGCTCTGTGTTCTCTGCTAATAGCCCGACTGTGAATGATGCGAGCAGCATCACTATGTTGTCACTGAGAAGCTGCAGCCGTGGCCGGGAATGATTTTTGGTGTGCCGGCAGAACAACAATAACAACAACAATGCGCTACATGTTTCTTTTCCCCTCATTTTTTTTTTCCAATTGATGGAAATCCGTCGTAGCGACGGAAAACTTTAATCCCTGCATAAACAAAGTTTATTTCAAATTTAATTCAAGCACTTTCAAGGACCTATGTTTGTTTTCAAGTACTTTCCAGGCCTTGAATCCATATGTCTGAAATTCAAGTAATTTCAAGAAGCGTGGGAACCCTGGTTTTAAAAGCTACTGTTTTGACAGCGTTGATAACGTTTCTGACCGAATGTGGAATCCTGTCAGCAATAACCTGTCCATGTTTTTTTTTTTATTACTGTCAGTTTAAGTGCGATGCAGTGTTGCCAGATATTGCTATTAAAACAAACAAAAACCGAAAACTAAATACAAATAAACCGAAATTATTTCAAATCTTTTGCAAATAAGATCATATAAAGATATCGCTGACCCTAAACTGCAACGTCTTACTTTATTAACTTTCTAAAGTGTCAAATTAAGTGGAAAAGATAAGTCCAAAAACTTATAATAGCTGGATCTGGCAACGTGGAGGCTGCGCCCGCGCCCTCACTCACAACTCTCTCAAGCCTCGTTCACTCCGGCAGTGTCTCGCAGCGATCATTTTCATACCACGGATGCTAAACATTCTTGCAAACTGTCTAAACTGAATTATACATGTCATGCAGACATTCATATGAAGAGTTTAACAGCAAATTAGTCATTCAGAGAACAAATTTTATTTTTGAACATGAGAAATTTACAGAGGTCTGGACCTCGGTGACCTCATAGCTGGCTACGGGCCTGGCCAAAACTGTATTTATTGTTTGAATTTCGTTATGAATTTGGAATAATTTTAAAGCTGATACTTTGTTTATTAAAAAGTAACAAAGCACAAAGCTTTTTGCGATTACTGGACGGCAAGTGCGCTTCAAATAATATGAAGTTCACGCATTAACAGAACACAGCATAGACTAATATGCTGTGTTAGTATTAATGATTATAAACGAGAATTGTTAACGATATTGCCAATATCCACACAGCTGACAGCTTTACCTGTTGTAGTTTGTTCAAGTTCGCACGTCTCCGTCATTTCGATCTCTCTCGCGCTGCACAACTGAGCTGCGTTTAGCAGATGTGCGACAATGCTGCTGTGCGGCAGAGATGAGATGGTCCTCACTGCAGAACACAAGATCCAGGGGGCGAGGTTGAATCCAGATCCAACTCCTCCCACCTTACATATACCTAAACCTACCCGTCTCCACCCCCTAATCCCTAAACCCACCCATCTCCACCCCCTAGATGTGGATCCAAACCCGCCCCCTGGATCTTTGTTCTGCAGTGAGGGGCTACTGGCAGAGATGAGGACTGTTTGAAACTCTTTTTTCCACTAAAACTTTGATGCGCATCGTCTCAGTTTAATACGTGAACATAACAAAAGATGTGATCGCAAAACAATCAGGAAAGGCATTACATGCAAATTTTTAAGTTATAACATGTAAATATATATAGTCGCCAGTTGCGACCTCAGCAAAAACTTCACTCGCAAATTAATATTTTTGGTCGCAAACGCGACCGTTTTAGTCGGAGTCTGGAGCCCTGAGTAGGTATGCTTACATGCAGTCATTTACATCAGTCTGAGTAAATCCAATCCAATTTCAGATTCTAAGTTTTCTTTATATGAACACAAAATTTTGCAATCCGATCCACATTTTTTTCAAGGTATTTTTGAATACGATTAAGAAGATAGTTGTATTCAAGTGTTTAAATGCCTAGTTTTTTTCCTATTGATTGGATTCTTTCAGTTAAGCACCACCCTTTCAATCCAATCTAAATTTCATTCGCATTGAGGTGTTAACATGAAGGCTTTTGAATCCGATTGAGCATCAATTTAATTACCAATGGATTATTTGGTTGTATGTAAACAAAGCTAGCATCACATAATCTTTCAGAAATTACTCTAATATTCTGATTTGCGCTCAATAATTTTTTTTTATTATTATCAATGTTGAAAACAGCTGTGCTGCTTAATAACTTTGTGGAATCCTTGACAGATTTTTTTCAGGATTCTTTGAATAGAAAATTCACAAAAAAGAACATTTATTTGAAGCAGAAATTGTCAAATTCACTTTTTGCTCAATTTAATGCATTCTTTCTTGCTAATCAAAAGTATATATTTATTTCAAAAAGAAAATCTCAAGGTACCACACATGAGCCGAGACAATAAAAACTATAAAAATTAGAACATATTTGGTGTGTCAAGAGAGAGAAGTAAAATTAGATGCGCTAATTGCTTTTTTTTTTTTTTTTCATCACGGGTACACTTTGATGTACAGGACTGGTGGCTGTGTGGGGGTGTGTGTGTGTTTGCTGATGGTTAATTCACTGCCTGCTTGGGGCCCATATGGCCAGGGCCGTATAACACCCCCTCAGGGGAAAGAGAAGCTTTTGGGTTGCAATGCATTGTTCTCGTTGCTTGTGAGTGGATGATGGCGGGGGTGGGGGCAGAAATTGAAGCATATGAGGGAGGTGAGGGGAGCCTAACACCCCCAAGGGACCACACCTCACCCTAAACCAGCAAAGCGTAGTTATCAATAAAAATGGAAGGAAAACGAAGGGGTGGAAGAAATGCGGAGGGGGAGATCCTATATACTTCACCCATCAGTGACCCCCTGAATGAAGCTACCCTCCCCGAGTCACACCCACATCCATCTACTGCTCCTCGAGTGTGTATTTGTGTGTCAAGATGCAACAAGATGCACAATAACACTCTAACACACAAATCTAATAAAGAGACTCAGAGTGTTTTCTAGAAAATGTGTAAGATGAGAGGGCTGCAGCTTTCTGTCCATTAGCCTGTCTTTGGCATCATCGATTGTTGTTTTAAACTGCTCAACTTAAAAAAAAAATTTCTGATCTACATTTTGCGTTAAAAAAAGATGATCTAAAATTAGCAAGCTTCTCTTTCTTTTTTTTTCTTTTTTTCAGGCATCAGTGAATTTCTATAAATAAAACCATCTTCAAAAAAATCCAATTGTAAGCCAAAAGTGGAGCTAAAAACAGACCTAAGCGTAGTTTGTATTGTAGAATGTATTTATGATACAAATTTATTTCATTGGCATATGCTTCTAATCCAATCTCTAATGTAGAACCATATATAACACCACAATGATTAAATCAATACAATGCATGACATGATGAAAAAGCCTTCGAGTGAATTACACAGAGCTCAGCTGCACATGTCAGACAAAGGGTTAAGCCCCACACGTGGACACACAGCCCAAAGCTCAAAACAGCGATGCTAGGACACATGTACAGACATTCTAACCAGTCAAAGAGGCTCGTTACATTAACAAGGCCACAAGCAATTGTGGCATGTGCAATTGCATATCTGTGCCTTTGTGAATTATTCAGTCGCACAAAGTATGAGCAACAGAGTACCTGAGCAGTCAGGATGGACAAAAAAGGCTTAGACTTTTTAAGCTTTCACTCAAAAATCATTCTAATCAGCATATTAGCATGATTTCTGAAGACTCATGTGACACTGTAATGAAGTAATGGCTGCTGAGAATTCAACTTTGCCATTGCAGGAAGAGATTATATTTCATTCAAACAGAAAACAGTTATTTTAAATTGTAATAATATTTCACAATATTACTGTTTTTACTATATTTTGATTAAATAAATGCAGCCTTGGTGAGCCTAAAATGCTTCTTTCAAAAACATTCTAAAAATCTTTTTACCAGCTACATAAAGTTTACGTTCAAACATTAAATACAGCTAATTTATGAGTTATAGTGATATCAGCTCACAGTCTTATCTTTCAAGACAGGATAAGCAAGAACAAAAGAAATGGCATGTCCATAAACCTCTAATAGCATTACACGCTCAACCGAGAATCCAAATACAAAGTACATTTGCCAGTTTATTGTTTTCTTTTTATCATCATGGCCCAGGTTTTGAGTCCCTGATTCAGTGTTTTGCTGAATAATGGATGGAGTTACATCATTAATCAGTCTCTGATGTTTCTATAGTATATAATAATGTAAAAGTATAATACAATATTTATTTAGGCTGATAATGCTCCAACACAGGAGCTGCTCATTTGTTCTTTCTGTGTCCTTTGTGTTTCCAAAGCTGTGATGCCACGAGATGCCTCAGGAGGCCGAAGCATCAGCATCTTCTGATGAAATGTGCTGTTTTGGTTCATTAGATCACCCTTAAATGACTGGAATTAACTTCACAGAGCTCTCAGACCACCCAGAGTCTGACTATAAGACTCGGAAAGAGAGTAAAAGAGAAAAACATAAACATCATTCCAAGAGCAGCGTGTCTCCAATGGCAAAGGAAGGAGAGAGCATCCTTGTGATACACAGATGACACTCGAACATGAGATTTAAAAAAAATACACACCTGTTTAGTGTCAGAGCTCATTCGGACCCGTGTGTTGAGAACATCATGAGCGGCCTGACTGTCTCCGTCCATTCGGTACACTAACCGGACCGGTACCGTGTTCTCTCTCCCGAGGAACCTGTCGTCATCACGCCGAGCCCTCGTTTTTACCAAGGCGTCTCCTAAAATAATAAAAACACGGCAGCATATTTTTATCACCTACAGATTTTTCTCTCGAGGTACACGTATGAAATTGGACATAATATTCTGTTTAGATAGGATAAATAATGATAAATCACGGCTCAGGGTCGACTATTTACCGTTACATATAGCTTATAGTTGTTTACATCGTCTGAAACGAATATGGGGGGAGTAAAATACGACACTAATATGGTAAAAAATACGCCATAATTATTTTGTTTCGTTATGAAATATATAAAAATGCACCCTCACCGTAATGAGGCAGGGAGATGCTGGTAACATTATGTATCACAGAGCTCATCACCGCTACAAAGAGACACAGAAAGGAAATACCGACACGGAGAGGCATCATTCCCGCATCCATTCGCTTCAGAAAATCGCGGTTAATAATATACATCCCAAATTATACGATATACGAGTTAAATCCCAAGTTATACGCGATTTACGTTCTCCCTCAGGAAGGCGCGCACACTCATCCTTTCGCGCGCTGGTTGCCATTAGTGACGCGCGAGCAGCCTCTGCACCTAGACGCGGGTCGCGCGAGCGGCGGGCGGATGACTGGTCGGAGGCGGGTGCGTTCTGGAAAACTAAAATCAGGCCCTTTTTTCTTCACCGACCAGAAGCCACCACCTCCTCAGCAAGACATCAATAATATCCATCCGCCTCACTGCAGAAACGCCTCATAAATATACATGAGCGAGCTCCAGTCGGGATGAACGGGTAGTGCAGTGCGCGCTCCACCTGCTTTCACCTTCTGCGCCAAACAGATAAAGATCCCGCAGGGTGCATAAGAACAGTGAAACACAGTAGTTGATATGGAAACGTACTACAAATTATTAAATAACGTAACGTCCTTTAGTATGCAACCATACAGGGAATAATAACGCTTTATGCACTAATAATTTCATAATGTTCAGATTAACCAGAAAAGAGCAAAAATAAAACCATAAAACAAAAACAGAAAAATTCTGCGATTGCTGCGACGTTTACAGTAACAATATGAACTAAATAAACAAATAGCTATGGAAGACATTTAGAACAAATCCGAGGGTTTTTACTGATGTACCCTGGGAATAAACACGTTGTTTTAAATACATTTTTCATTAGCCTATAAGCAAGTCTTAAAAACAGAGATGGAATTTGAAACAATAACACCGAATTTCCATTTGTATAATCTATTTTATGTCATATACAAAAGTGGTTAATTTGAGTATTTACACTACCATTCAAAAGGTTGCGGTTGGTAGGATTTTTAAATCGTTAAGTTTTTGAAACAAGTCTGTGCTCACCAATGCTGCATTTACTTGAAAGTAAATCATTACAAGTTAATATTTATAATTTGTGAAATCTAATTCATAGCGGTGATGGCAAAGCTGAATTTTCAGCATATTTTACTCCAGTCTTCAGTGTCACGTGATCTTTCTGAATATGCTAATTTGTTGCACAAGAAAAAAAATGCTGGAAACAGCTGTGCTCCTTAATATCTTTGTGAAAACTTTTTTGGGATTTGATGAAGTGATTAAAATTAAAACTACAGCTTTTTCTTCTTTTATGCAAGTCTTTCCTATTACTTTTGATGAATTTAATGCACCTTGCTGAATAAATGTATTCATTAGATAAAAAAATCTTACCAACCCCAAATGTTTGAACAGTAGTGTGTATAGAATATTAATCGGACTGAAGTCTTGAAACACTGATGATAATGGAAAGAGCCTTTCTCATAGATGTTATGAATACACCCCCTAATGTACTTATCACACATTATGCACTGTTAAATAGAAACCCACGGCAAATCAGAAGACTTTTTAACATTTTTTTTTGCACAACACTGGTGCTTATAACCATGATAGAGACACACAAAAAGAAAGAAAAAACAATACTTAAACCATTGTAAAAAAATATTTGCAATTACAGGAACCAAAGAAAAAAAATGCTGGAAACAGCTGTGCTCCTTAATATCTTTGTGAAAACTTTTTTGGGATTTGATGAAGTGATTAAAATTAAAACTACAGCTTTTTCTTCTTTTATGCAAGTCTTTCCTATTACTTTTGATGAATTTAATGCACCTTGCTGAATAAATGTATTCATTAGATTAAAAAAATCTTACCAACCCCAAATGTTTGAACAGTAGTGCGTATAGAATATTAATCGGACTGAAGTCTTGAAACACTGATGATAATGGAAAGAGCCTTTCTCATAGATGTTATGAATACACCCCCTAATGTACTTATCACACATTATGCACTGTTAAATAGAAACCCACGCCAAATCAGAAGACTTTTTAACTTTTTTTTTTTGCACAACACTGGTGCTTATAACCATGATAGAGACACACAAAAAGAAAGAAAAAACAATACTTAAACCATTGTAAAAAAATATTTGCAATTTAATACAGGAACCAGGAAAACGTTTCAAGAAAATCTGATGCTGTTATTATCATTCAATTACATCCACTCATCAAATGTACATGCTGAGTATCTCCACTCATTTTTTTACTGTATAAAGTCAGTAGGTATTTTTCAGTCTATAAGTTTTCTTTTAAAGCCTGTATAGTACGAATGCAGTTTTCCATCGCACTGATGAAAGAAAACAGATTTATTACTATATATTATTTGGCACAGTAATAACTTTTACAACACATACATACGTGTTAAATTCCTCTACTCAGCTTTAATCTCAAAAACCCTTAAAATCTTCATCCATGTTGTCACTGGACTGAAAGAGCTGCCACAGGTCCAGGAGATAACCAGGTGGGTTCTCACACTCCAGTACAGGTTTAACAGGTATAAGAGAGCTCAATGATTCTCTCTCTTTACTAGATTCGATGTGCAAGGCTGGTACTTGCTTTCTTCTTCTGGATCTGACATTCCGAACCTTCCGTTGCAGTGAATTAGTGGGGCTATCGAGGTCCGGTTCGGGTTCTGTGCTGCCTAAAGGCCAAAGAGCTGAATTTTCAACTTGATTTTCTGGCATACTTTGCAAATAAACTTCACAGGAGTTAGTCCTAAAGCACTCAAATGCTGTTAATGACTCTCGGTTTCTTTCACTGAACTGTTGAGCTGTGCACATGTCAGGGTTTGTCCTGGTTTGTTGGTCTGTCCTGCATTCAGGTGCATTAGAGTCACAGTTCTGCTCTCTGCTGAGAAAAGATGCACCTTCAGATTTCCGCACAGCAGATTGCGAGTGGAATTCCCACTCAAAGGATCCACGCTTAGACTGGGACTTCTCTGGAACGTCGGATTGGTCGAAAAAGCTGTCCCTGTTGCTCCGAGGGAATTCACACTGGCCTCTGCTGCGTTTGCGAACCGACAGAGGTTTTTCTCTGGTCTGTTCTGAAAGAGGTTGCTTTGCTGTAGAGCTCCAAAGCAAAGACCCGTTGCTTTCCTGTTTCCAATCACCATTTACAGATCCCACATCTTCCTTTACAGGCAACATGGCTCCAGCACACAGAACAGGGGTTGATGTACTGCATTTCACCCTATGGCAGAGGGACATTGAAATAGTGCTGTCATAAGGCCAGTAAAAAAATAAAAAGATAAACGATAAGGAAAACTACAATTTTTAAAGACGTTTGTACCTTCTGCTGTGTGTGCCAATGTTAACAAGGTCGCAGGTCAGCCCCGCAGTGACTCGATCCACAACTGTGTACTCCTCACTCTTAGAGAAAGCCTGATGCTGGTTACTCTCTAGGTGCTGGTGGTCAGAAGGTCAGAACAGGTGAGCACAAATGTCATGTATTTTATGCAAATCCTGGTTCAGCCCAAAATTTATAATTACTGTTTGTTTGTTTTCAGATGAGAAACAGCATATGCAAAGTGTTAATTTAAAATTGACTGCCTTTCTCTTGTTTCCAACACCTACCATCCTTAGGTTGTCGAATTTGACCTCACAGCACTCACAGTACCCTCCTTTCCTCTTTTCTCTCCCTTCATGTCCTCTGCGCCTGCCTTTCTTTCCTCTAATTCCTCGGTCCCCTCCAGACCTGAGGCAAAAAAGATTCTCATTCACACACAGACACACTCTCAAAAATGCCTGCATTACAAAAAGACATTTCTGATTCTCATTGTACCTTTGCTCTTTCTGTCTCTTTGGATCTTCTTTTCCATGTTCATCCATCAGGAATGGACAGCAAGGTGGAATAGATCGGAGGTTGCACACAGGCGTGTTGGACAGGGGAAGGTAGATGGGACAATAATGCCTGCAAAAACATCACAGACTGTTATTGAATTTGACAAGTAATGTGAAACAAGAAAAACAAGAAAAGGAAACGCACCTGCTTGAGTCTTCTACTTTCACAAATGGACGACAAATTCTTTCAGCTGGAAATAAAAAACAAATAAACAAAATCAAATAAAGACTGCTATATATTCAACTTTTTCAACTGGAGGATGCAACATATTAAAACAGGTTCTTTACTCTCTACTTACCACTGTGTCTGTGTGTATTTTTGTCTGTGTGCTGAATGCAGGCCTAAAAATGAAGAGTGATAAAGGTTGCACACAGGCGTGTTGGACAGGGGAAGGTAGATGGGACAATAATGCCTGCAAAAACATCACAGACTGTTATTGAATTTGACAAGTAATGTGAAACAAGAAAAACAAGAAAAGGAAACGCACCTGCTTGAGTCTTCTACTTTCACAAATGGACGACAAATTCTTTCAGCTGGAAATAAAAAACAAATAAACAAAATCAAATAAAGACTGCTATATATTCAACTTTTTCAACTGGAGGATGCAACATATTAAAACAGGTTCTTTACTCTCTACTTACCATTGTGTCTGTGTGTATTTTTGTCTGTGTGCTGAATGCAGGCCTAAAAATTAAGAGTGATAAACTGAATATATACAGAAATAACAAGTTTATTTGCAGCGCTGCACAGAGTCTGCAGCTCCACAGATTTCTCACTTTGCAGCCAAATTTATATTCCATAGATTTCCCAATCAGGGCAGAAATTGTGAAAACCTGTGCAGATTCCACATGAGTAATTTTCTGGTGAATGTTAAAAGATCAGGTTCAAATGTTTCAGTTTAGTCTTTAGGACAGTAAACAACAAATTTTATAGTTGTTTACTACACACAATATTCAGAAAAGTGGTTGAACAATGTTTTTTCAATGGTTCATTTTTAAATTTGTACATTTGGTTCTTAATATAAACAAATATAATAATAAAATGTGCTACGAACAAAAAACTACTCACAGCTCTTTTCACCACTGGATTAGCTGCGTTCACTGCAATGAGTTTTGCTTTCTTCTTGTCAAGATAAGAAATAACATCTGTTTGGAAGTCAAGCATCAAACACCATGAAATAGTGAAACCATATCTCACTTCTCTAACAATACAAGCATTAATGATGATAAAGACAATACCGTCAACATGCAGAACTTTGACTCCCCATTCCACAGCATTGGCCAAGATCCCATTCATCTGAACACGTTCCTAAAACAGAACAGAAAACCCTCAATCAGAGCACTGATAAACCACTCAAGACTTCACTCAAGAGTTCATTCACAAACAAGCCATGATAAAGATTGACTCACTTGTTCCTTAACAACTCTCTCCACAAGCGATTTGCCTCGACTTACAGCCACCTGTGATATTCCAGCACAAGATAAACATGTCAGTGAATTTTGACTTAATTGGTGGGCTAAGTG